AGGGCCAGAAGGCAGAAGGGGACAAGGAAGCTGGTGATAGGGAACCCAAGGTTGAGTAAGGATATTGTTGATGTGTTGTGAGATTGTTAACCATTGTCATAGGGCAACATGTGTAGTAACTGTTAAATGAGAAACTATTTTGTTCTGTAAGCCTTCATCTTAAGTGAGAATAACAGCACAATTGGAAGAGCGTAGTCAATGTCACTGAACTGTGCATGTAGAAATTTTTGAAATGGTGTATCTTTGGGTATGTGTATTTTCACCAAAAAAAAGGTTGAGAATTTAGAGGGTTGACATGTTGTGGGGTTGTTAACCAATGTCATAAAACAATATGTGTACTAGTGTTTCATGAGAAACTATTTGTTCTGTAAGCCTTCACCTGAAGTACAATAAAAAAAAAAGTTCAGGAAACAGAATAGAAATGAAGACTGCAGCACTATGCCATTTGTGTAAACTAAAATCACAAACACTCAAAACACTACATATTTTAGAATGATACATATCAAACATGACAGAGCAGCTGCTTACAGAGATAGGAAATGGAGAGGATAAAAAGGAAAAAAAAATATAGCAAGAGGGGGCCTTATGCTGACCTATGAAATAAACCTACCTGGAATTGGAAAGTATGATTAACTCGAACCTCTGCACTTGAGGTCCTTTAAAAGCCAAAAGAAAGCCAGTGGCTTTATTTGATAAAGTCTGAATCAAACATGTCACCTACTCAAACTCAGAAACTGCCACAGAGCACTTCCAGTTAATACTATCCAAAATCAAATGCCTTTCAAAAGACATCTTTAAAGAAGTTCAAGACTGAATAACACTGAAATTTGGGTTCATTTTTCAGAAAAAACATTCTACATTTTAAAAAGGGGTAAAAGTGGAAAAAACATTTAAGACATTTAAAAAATTATTTTCTCCCTGAGTTTTTATAAATTTCCTTTTTTAAATTAACATTTGCTGTTTCAACATTTTTACACACACAATTTAGTGACATTAATTATTTTCATCGTGTTGTGCAACCATCACCATTATTTGTTTCCAAATTTTTCCATCAACCTTAACGGAAACTCAGTGCCCCCTAAGAAACAACTCCCCCTTCCACCCTCTCTCCCACCTAAAGTAACCACTAATATTAGAACTTTGGTCTCCATATATACTTTTGCCTATTCTAGACATTTTATATAAGTAGAATCATGTAATATTTGTCCTTTTGTGACTTATTTTACCTAGCATAACGTTTTCAAGATTTATCCATGTTACAACCTGTATCAGAGCTTCATTTCTCTTTATGGATTAATAATACTCCATTTTGTGTATATACCACATTTTGTTCATCTGTTGATGGGCATTTAGGTTGTTTCTACCTTGTGGTTATGGTGAATAATGTTGCAATGTAACACTGTGTACAAGTAAGTATCTCTCTGTGCTCCTGCTTTCAATTCTATCTGTTATATACCTAGGAGTGGAATTGCTGGGTCATACGGTAACTGTGTTTAACTTTCTGAGGAACCGCCAATCTGTTTTCCACACCGGCTGTACCATTTTACAATCCTGCCAGAATTGATGAGGGTTCCAATTTCTCTTTATCTTTGTCACCAACACTTGTTGTTTTCCGTTTTTCTGATCATAGTCATCCCGATCTCTTAATAGAGGCTTTCTGGGAAAGTCAGGTCTCCCTTTTCCTATGCAATCTTAAAATGTCATGGACAGATCACCTGTATCAGAATCACCTGGGGTGGCCCACCAGAACAATAAGGGCATGGCCCAGGATCTCTCTATTTTACCAAATACCCCAATTGTTTCTTGTTCATACTAGAATTTAAAAATAACTGTTCGAGAGAGTCTGTCCTAAGACAAGTATCACCAACCCTAGCCCACCCTGTCCCTGAAGTCTCCCACTATCTGCCCCATTATTTGTCCTGGGCAAATTCCTAACTCTGAAGGCCCCACTCCCACCCACCTCCCAAACCCCAAGCCATAGTCCAGACCTCTCTCCTGTGCATCCACAGGCACTTACAACCCAATAGCCATCTGACACCGATCTCTGCCTCTCCTCCTGCAGTGACTGTCCTCACCTTGGTGAATGGCACCACATACCGATCCAGGTCACCCAACTGGAAACTTGGGCATTAGCCCCAAGACCTCCCTTTCTCTTGATCCCTTTCCACCCTCACATCTAACCAGGACACCCATCATGCTGTTTCGTAATCACCCATAAACAGAGCAGCCTCCCTTGTGAGACTCCGAGTAAAGAGAGGGCCAAAACCTTATCCGTCTCATTCACCACTGCATTCCCAGAGCCTAGCACAGTTCCTGGCTCACAACAGGTGCCAAAAAAAAAAAAAAAAAAAAAAAAAAAAAAGAACAATCATCGGTTACTCTGTTTCCTCTGCCTAGAAGGCCCTTCCTAGCACCTTCCTGGACCAATTCTCACCTGGGGACATGCCTAAGCTGCTTGGTAGGGGTGGGAGCAGATAACTCACCGTCTTTCATACTCCATGTCCTGATAGGACCTGCGGGGGCTGCTGGGGCCCCTCCTCAGCCGCTGGCTCCGTTTCACTTCCCAGCCACCCCCACTGCTGCCACCATGATCTGCCAGCCTGGGTGATGCCTCCTGCAGGGACTCTGGGGAGAGTGGAGGGAAGAAAGGGGTCAAGGCAGTTGAGGCAGAGGGGACCTCCTTGAGAAACCCTAGTTGTCCAGGCTCTCTGCTGTCCCTTAGCCCAGATACATTGTTTCCCAACTCCCAGTGCTCCTGTGGACCAAAGCAAGAACATAGCCCCTGTTTAGCTTGCTCCTTCTTTTCCCCACAAACATGAGGCTAGAGCCTACTGCCATAGAAATAGCAAGGCCTTCATCAGACAGAGGATATCTAGCAGAGAGACCTGGAACATTCCTAAAGGTTGCAGATCTTGGAGATTGGAGGGGTGCTGGTACCACAGCTTTGCCATCTGAGACTGACAGACAAGCTCAGGGTGCTCAGTGCTGAATGACCAAAGATTAGGCACATTAGGCACTGAGGCAAGACTTCACAACAATGGGAGCCTTAAGTACCCACCAGGTACCATTTCATCCTCCCAACAAAATGCTGGCAGACCCCTCCAAGGTGGTAGACCCCATGAAAAGCTCTTGCGGGTAGGCGAAGGGGCTAACTTGGCAAGGAGACAGCTGCTGCCTCCCTGGGCTCCCAGCCAGCTCAGCCCTCACACAGCAACTGGCTCAGCCCTGAGCCTTACACACAGCCAGGTCCCAAGACAGCTCTCTCTCCCCAAGGGCTCCAAGCCCAAGTTTTCTCAGAGGCAAAAGGGGGCCTTCCAGAGACTCTTCGGAACCAGTGTGCTATTCTGCTAGGACAGAGAAGCAGTCACCTCACCCAACCCTCATGGTTGCCTTGAAGACTAAGGGAGTCCTGAGAGCCATGTGACCCAGCCAGGGGCCAGGATGTACCCAAATTCTTCAGGCCCCACCCTCTAAACAGGAATCAGGCTAAGCCTGGTGTTAACAGCCCCTGCCCAACACTAGGTTGCCAAGACACCTCTCCCCCATGTGTGTACACGTACACACACAAAATTTTTTCTTCCAACTCAAGCCTCAGGGAACCAGTTACCTCTTTCCAGATGGGTAAGAATTAGGATCACAACCAGGGGCCCCACTGGATCAGAGCTAGATACAAAAACCTCAATAGACTCCGGCAAAGGAGCCAGAGTCACACACCAGTATCCACAAGATAGGGACCAAAGTCACAGATAGGTGCCCCAAATAATTACCGGTCAAAATCGCAGATAGGAACCCACAACAAATATGGCCATAAATCACACACTGCGACCCCTTTCAATGGACGAGCGTCAGGGTCACAGATACAAGCCCCTCAAAGGCGGCAATAATCACGCACACATTCCCCGCACCCCCTCCCCACAAAGTCAGTTAGGGACAGTCAGAGAGACAGCCCCCATGGATAAGGACTAGAGTTACAAACACATACCCTAAGGATAAAGGCCAGAGCCACACAGACATTACCCCCCGCAAGGAATAAGGACCAGAGCCACGGAACGCTTCTCCATGGACAGATAAGCATCAGATTCACACAGAGCAGACAGCACACCCCCTCTCCATGGATTAAAAACCAAAGTCGTAGACAGCCGTCTCCCATAAAGTCCAGCGTCGCAGACACAGTAACCCACTCTCATTTGTCCCTCCCTTCCCCCAACCCGCGTGCACCCATCCCGTCTCCCAATCGCGCACGCGCCTCTGCTCTCAAAAGAAAAAAGAGACACCCCCCCGGCAATTCCTGAGTTCCGTGCGTACTCCAGGCCCCCCCGGCCCACAATCTGCGATAGCGCCACCTCTACTTCCCCACCCCACCCCTAGCCCCTTACCTCCGCCCCCACGACCAGCGTCGACGCTCACCTTCTCGGTCCGGGCTGTCAAGGGAGGGCTCCCCGACATCACCTCGGCCCGCCGCCACCTCCTCCAACTCTCCCAGCTCAGCCGGAGCCGGTCCACGCAACAACCAAGTCTGAGGCTGGAGGCAGAAGGGAAGAGGAAGGGGGAGGGGAGAAGCGCCAGGCGCACTACCCTCCCCAAGGAAACTCACTGCCGCCTACTCCCAGCCGGCCGCAATCACCAACACAAAATGGCGACGACAAGAAGAGAGCCGGCGCTTAGACCACCATCCACCTACTAAGGGAGCGCGCTCTGGCGGGTCTCGTCTATTGGCCACCGCCCGCTGTCGGCCAGCCCTGGCCTCCTCTGATTGGCAAGCGTATGCCACCTCCCCACTCTCCATGCGAACGTCCGCAAGCCGAGACATACAGTAGCTATTGGCCAATCCAGCAAGGCCCGCTTTTTAGAAGGTTGGTTTCCTTTGAAGATGAAAAGAGAAACGGAAGCTCCGCCCCCTTCCCCAAAGGGCAAGGGAAATCTGTGCGATTGGCTGGGAACTGTATCCACCCAAATGTCACCACTTTCTTCCCATCAAGGAAACGAGCAGACCTAGCAATAAGAAATTTCTCAGCCGGACCGAGAGGATAAGAGAATGGCTGGTCCCATAAAGCCATGAAAGAGGGCTACTCAGTGCCCAGCCTCATTTGAAAACAAAATCAGACCTGGGACCTATTTAGTGAGGCGGAGCGACAATTATCGCGCAGAGGGCAGCTGCAGCTGCGCAGAGTCGCATTTCCGTCCCCGCCTCCAAGACGCTGCAGAATAATCTGTCATGGCGGCGGGGCTGTTAGGTTTGTGGTCTCGTCGCCTTTTGGCGGCAACGGCGATGCGAGGGCTCCCGGCTGTCCATGTCCGCTGGGAATCCACCGCCTCCAGGACTGTGGTTGCTCCGCCCGCCATCACAGGGAAGCGGCCACGGGAACCGATCATACGCTGGCAGGAAGACCCGGATCCCGAGGACGAAAACCTCTACGAGAAGGTGAGAGGGTGGGAGGGAGAACGGAACGTCGGAAGGGTCAATCGAGGACGGGCGGACGGGGCGCCGTAGAGGACGTTCTTAGGTGGCTGAATATTGCGCAGGCAACGAAATCCTCGAACATTTGGGAATTTTGCCTAGCTTGTTTTCCGCCTTTGTCCCCTGATATCCTCGGTCCAGATCCAGAGGTGAGATTGACCTTATTTTGCAGACAAAAATGAAACCTGAAATGGGTAGCGATCAAAACACGTTGTAAGCAATATAGGATTAACAACAATAATGTTAAGCATCTACGTGGCGCTTACTCTGGGCCAGGCAGTGTTGTAAATACTCTATATACATTAGCTTGTTTAATCCTTGAACCAACCTTATTTTGAGGTAGGCACTATTATATACCCATTTTACAGATGAGGAAACTGAAGCATAGAGATGTTATTAAGTAGCTTGCCTAAGCTTACATAACTGAATTAGTGGTGGAACCAGTGTTTGAACTTAGATCTGCCAGGTCTACTGTGCTGTATTAATAGCAGAGACTCTGAAATCAGATGGCTTGGGTTAGAATCCAAGCACTGACAGTTACTCACCTTTGTGACCTTGGGCAAATTGCTTAACCCCATATGCTTCAATTTCTTTGTCTGTAAAGGGGGAAAAGTAATAGGACACCTGCCTCATGAAATTAAATAAGTCAAAATGCTCAGAACAGCAGTTGGCACTTAGTAAGTACTTAGTTAACATTACCCGTTTAAAAAAAAAAACATTGCCATCGAGTCGATTCCAACTCATGGCGACCCTATAGGACAGAGTAGAACTGCCCCCATGGGGTTTCCAAGGCCATAATCTTTACGGAAGCAGACTGCCACATCTTTCTACTACTGGGTGGCTGGTAGGTTCAAACTGCTGACCTTTTGACCTTTCAGTTAGCAGCCAAGCTCTTAACCACAGTGCCACCAGGGCTCCTTCAGTTAACATTAGAAGGCGTTAATTATTTTCATCACTTTCCACCTCACTGAGATATTGTGAGGATTGTGTATGTGAAAAGGCCTGGCACAAAATAGGTACCTCATCAATACTAATCTCTGGTTGAGGGGCTTGGATATATAGGATGCTTACTCATTTATTCATTCATTCTGTAAATATGTATCAACAGCCTGCTGTATGCCAGGCACAGTTCAGGGCTCTAGGGATACAGCAGTACGGAAATCAGACAAAGCCCTTGCTCTTATAGAGCTTACATGATAGTGGGAAAGATGGAGAATAAGCACGTAAAATATTAGAAGATGATAATATAGAGTAAAGTGATAGATAATAATATAATGTGATACAGAGGATCTGAGGGCACACTACTTTGGTAAACAATGAATATAATTTCAAACAGTGATAAATGCTAGAAAGAAAGTTAAGCAGGATAAGGAGATGGAGAGTGACTTATAGATAGGGAGTTATTTTATTAGGTTGAACCATAGGAAATTGCCAGTATTCAACTGTTTTTGACCTTTAAAAATGGCAATTTCCTGTGCTTCCTAACTTAATAGACAGGATGACTAGGGAATGCCTCCTAAAGGAAGTGATGATTGAGCCGAAACCTTGAATGAGGAGGAACCAGCCATGACCAGATCTCAGGGAAAAGTTTCCATGGGAGGGAACAGCAAGTGCAAAGGCCCTGTGGTGGGAAGGAGCTTGCCATGTCCTAAGAATAGAAAGAGAGGAATGGAATAAGGGAGGAGAGATGGATCTGAGGTGAGATCAGAAACCAGGTTATGCAGGGCTAACATGAGACTTTGTGGAACAGCAGGAAGCCCTCATTGATACCTCCTTCTCCTTGCCACAGAACCCAGACTCCCATGGTTATGACAAGAATCCTGTTGTGGACCTCTGGAACATGCGTGTCGTCTTCTTCTTTGGCTTCTCCATCGTCCTAGTCCTTGGCAGCACCTTTGTGGCTTACCTGCCTGACTACAGGTGCATGGGGTGTCCAAGAGAGTGGGGTGGGTGAGGGGCAGAGGCAGGGGTGGAGGTTGAAGGGGATTCTGCCAGGAATCCTATCCTTGCACTGTTGGGGAATGGGGAGCTAAAATGGGGGATGGGTGTCCAGTGAGGCTCCCTCACATCTACCCCTGCTGCTGCTGCTGCCTCCAGGATGCGCGAGTGGGCCCGCAGGGAGGCTGAGAGGCTTGTAAAGTACCGAGAGGCCAATGGCCTCCCCATCATGGAATCCAATTGCTTCGACCCTAGCAAGATCCAGCTGCCAGAGGAAGAGGACTGACCAGTTGCCAAGTGGGGCTCAGGAAGCACCACCCTCCCCACCCCTCCACCTGCCTTCTGCCCTCTCCTCAGAGCACCTAATTAAAGAGACTGAAAATCTGACTAGCTAGTGTTGATTTTATTGTGTGTGGGGTTGGGGTAAGGGTGTCACAAGCCTTAAAAGGCCACTGTAGCCTTTTCTGGGTGTTCTGGTTATCTTCTGGCGTGTAACAAACCACCTTAAAAATTAGTGGCTTAAAACAACAATTTATTATTATCTCTCATGGTCCTGTGGATTGACTGGGTTCAGCTAGGTAATTCTTCCGAGGACTATCTCTTGGGTGGTTACAGTCCGATGGTGGCTGGGGCTGTAGTCATCTGAAGGCTCAACTGGGCTGGACATCCAAGATGACTTCTTCACTCACCTGTCTGGCACATCAGTCTTCTTCCAGATGGCCTCTCTCTAGCAGAATAGCCTGGGCTTCTTATAAGGTGGCTCAGGGCGCCTGAATGGGGGAATAGCACATAGGAAGAAATTGATGGCAGTCACCTTTAGAGACAAGCTACCACACTGGCACTGCCTATGTTTGAAGAAGGGCCAGGGAGACCTGGGGTTGAGGATGATGGAGCAGAGCAGGGCTTTTCTATTGCTGAGGATGGATGCTTGTCTCCATTCCTGCCTTCTCTGTATTTTCTCTGGGTTTTGGGGTTTTTGCCTTTCTTTTGGTGAGTCTAGATTTAGGATTTATGCCCCTCCTTGCTCGGCTGCTAACTGAGAGTCTGATGGTTTGAATCCACCCAGAGGTGCCTCGGAAGAAAGGCCTGGCCATCTAAAAACCCAGCCATTGAAGACCCTGTTGAGACAATTCTACTCTGACACACTTGAGGTTGCCCCAAGTCAGAATTGACTTGATGGCAACTGGTTTGTTTTGTTTTGTTTTTGTTTCTTACCCTCTACCCAAAATCTGGGTGGTCTCTAACTCAAGATATGTGTGTGTCTCTTTCTCTACCCTGCCTTCTCTCTTTCCCTGTCTTTCTGTGTCTCTCAAACAGCAAGTCTTTTTTTCTTCCCCCTTTACTTTCTTTCTCTCTGGGAATAGGCTGTCTTCTTGCATCAGGGGCTTACTCTCTCAGACTGTTTCTCTCTGGACCTGGCAGATGGAATAGGAGACTTTTCTCTGGCTCTGGCTGTCTTTGTTTCTTTCCAGAGACTTTCTCCTAGCTCCCTAAGTCTAAACATCTGGGCTCCCCTTCATGCTCCTGGCATTTCTGCCCTCTCTCCCCTTCCACAGCTCACATATTCACATTCATGCATCAGGTGCTCAGTGCTGCCATTGCTATGTTTGTCCTTGCTTGGGGCTTCAGAGGGTATACGAGCCCCCAGTTGCAGGCTGCCAGAAGAAAATCTGGCCTGATAGTCCCACCAGAGGTAATGTCCCCAACCCTAGCTACTAAGTCTCGGGAGGACCCCTAGTCTGTTTGTAGGTGGCTAAGGTGGGAGCAATATACATATAAACCTTCCTATAAGTGAGGAGTGTCAACCCTGAGTGCTTCTTGTGGGGAGTAGTCTCCCAAATTGAGGCTAAGCCCCAACGCACAGAATGCTAACGTGTAAAGGAGCACTTTCCACCCATCAGCCTGCATTTACTGGGACTATGGAAGTGAAAGAGACACGTTATCACAGCCACCAAATACCTGAGTATATTGGGGTAGTATGCCCTATAATAAACCTCAGCGTGTGGCAGCCATACCCCACCATTGGCCCAGAGAACACATTCCCCACACTCACTCCCCACTAGGATGTAAGTTCTTTAAGGGCAGGTATTCAGGTACGTTCTGTTCACTTAGTGATTAGCACATAGTATGGGCTTGATAATGGAGCCCTGGTGGCATGGTAGTTAAGAGATCAGCTGCTGACCAAAAGGTCAGCAGTTCGAATCCGCCAGCAGCTCCTTGGAAACCCTATGGGGCAGTTCTTCTCTTCCTATAGGGTCACTATGAGTTGGAATCGACTCAGCGGCAATGGTTTTGTTTTTTTTTTAATGCACTTGTTAAATATTCAGTATTGTTATCTCTTGTATAGGGGACATCCTCTACCCATCCATGCCCTTTAGGCCTACAGCGGCTGAGGATGAACACTTTCAATCCCCTTATCCTCTGCCTGCTCATCACGCTCTCAGGCACTCAAGAAACCTCCATTCTAGGTGAGATAAAAAGGCAGAGGGTCAGGAGCTGGTTGAATGGACACAGGAAATCGGGTGGAAAGGAGGAGTATGCTGTCACAGTATAGGGAGAGCAACTAGGGTCACAAAACTATAAATGTTTGTATGAGAGACTAACCTGAATTGTAAACTTTCACTTAAAGTACAATAATAATAATAAAAAAGAAAAGCTATGTGGAACCCAGGGAGTATGGCCCCCGGACACCTTTTAACTCAGTACTGAAGTCACTCCTGAGATTCTCCCTTCAGCCAAAGATTGTTGTTGTTGTGTGCTGTCAAGTCAATTCCGACTCACAGACAGGCCTATAAAACAAAACAAGACTAAATGGGCACACCAGCTCGGGGACAGGGACGAGAGGGCAGGAGGGGACAGGAAAGGTGGTAATGGGGAACCCAGGGTCGAGAAGGGGAGAGTATTGACAGGTCATAGCAACCGATATCACAAAACAATATGTGTATTAATTGTTTCATGAGAAACTAATTTGTTCTGTAAACCTTTGTCTTAGTCATTTCGTGCTGCTTTAACAGAAATACCACAAGTGGATGGCTTTAACAAAGAGAAGTTTATACTCTCACAGTCCAATAGGCTACAAGTCCAAATTCAGAGCATCAGCTCCAGGGGAAGGCTTTCTCTGTTGGCTCTGGAGGAAGGTCTGTGTCATCAATCGTCCCTTGGTCTGGGAGCTTCTCTGCGCACGAACCTCAGGTCCAAAGGATGCGCTCTGCTCCTGGCACTGCTTTCTCGGTGGTATGAGGTTCCTGTGTGTCTCTGCTTCTCTCTTTTAAATCTCAAAAGAGATTGGCTGAAGACACTATCTAATCTTGTAGACCTCATCAGTATAACTGCCGCTGATCCATCTTATTACATCATAGTGATAGAGTTTACAACACATAAGGAAATCACATCAGATTACAAAACGGTACACAATCATACAATACTGGGAATCATAACCCAGCCAAACTGATACACACATTTTTGGGGGGACATAATTCAATCTTTGACAACCTTCATCTAAAGAACAATAATTAAAAAAAAACACAACCCTCTATTCTGGTCAAACAAGTGGCTGTACTTAGAGTAAATCCTAAGATCCATGCTCTTCCCCGCCCGCTGCCCTATTCTGACCACAACAATACTACCTTTCCCTCCCAGCCCAGCCACACTAGCCACCTCTCTCTTTTCTTCTAACCATTGAATTAAAATGTACATACAGAAAAGTGTACATATCATAAGTGTACAGCTCATTTACTTTGTACAAATGGGACACCCATATAACCAGCACCCAGGTCAAGAAAGAACATGACCAAACCTCAGTACCTCCTGTCAGGTGCTTCCCATTCCCTGTCCCCAAGAGTAACACTCTTCCTGACTTCTAACAACATAAGTTAGTTTTGTTTGGTTTTGAACTTGATATGTAGAATCATGCATTTTAGTCAGTAGTTTGTTCATTCTCATTACTGTATTCTATTCTATTGTATGAATAGACCACACTTCACCTATTGTACTGTTGATTGGTATTTGGGTAGTTTTCTGTTTTGGGCTATTGAGAATAATTCTATGAAATTCTTGTACATATCTTTTGATGGACATATTCACTCATTTCTCTTGGGCATATACCTAGGAATTGCTAAGTCATGGGGTAGACATGATTAGCTTTAGTAAATAACGCCAATTTCCCAATCTACACTTCCTCCGGTGGTGAATGCCACATCCTCACCAACGTTTTCTGTCTTTTTCATTTTAGCCATTCTGCTGGGTGATTGACCTTTTAAGGACCACATTGAGATGAAGGAGTGGGGGTTGAGTGCCTACTGTGTGCCAAGACCTGTGCCAGGCACTGATAGCTACTAGGATCCCTACCCTCAAGAATTTCCCAAGGGTGAGGGTGCAGTATGAGTGGTTGGAGAACCGAAACAATGTTTTCACCCTACCATTTTGACCCCAAGGACATTTGAACCTTGATATTTTGGACCCAGCTTTGCTTTGCCAATATAACAGCTACCAACCTTCCTCATCCTTCAACCTTCAACTACAAGCCTTACGTGCAAGGCCCAGAGAACAAGACATGCCGACACTGAAGCGGACACTGGTGGTTCCCTGCCCATTTCCCTGCAACCTTACTGCTCCATTGTGCACTGGTGAACTTCCAACTGCCAGGGTCTGCATTTCTTTATTGAATGCTTCCTCTCAAACTTCCAAAGGTCATTCTGACAGGCTAGAAGTGCCAGGAAATTAACACCTTCTGGAAGCAGCCCTCAACCAGTAACTGCTGACAACTGGTGGATAACTACTCCTGCCCCCTCACCTTTCAGATGGGACAACTCTAAGGTGTGTGTTCTCCACTGGCCCCCAGATCTCCCCAGTGGGAATACACCAGTTGCCAACAGTGGTAAATCGTTTAATAACACTCTTCAATAGCTACCTTCTCTTCTTTGTCTCACTTTCTCACTGCCCTACAGATGCTTCTTGGAATCACTTCCTAAATAAACTACTTGACTTCAATCTTTGTCACAGGGTCTACTTCTAGGGGGAACCAAACTAAGACAGTCCCTGTCCTCGAGGAGACCAAGGGTAAACAAGCATACAAATCAACAAAGGAGACAAGTTCTGCCAGAAGCTAGTGTGGCTGGGACATTGTGAGGAAGAGAGTGGCTTGAGATGAGGTTACCGAGGTGGGCAAGGACCAGATCAGTAGAGCCCCTTGGCCATGATTACAAGGAGTTTAGATTTTACACACTACACAGAGTTGACCAGAAGCTTACTGAAAACACAGATTAGCAAAGCCCATCCCAGACAATTCTGGACTGTCTAAGGGAGATTGCTTACAGTTTTTCTCATGGATTATCCAGTAAGTAAAAACAAAATATCTTACCAGATTGGCAGTGAATATAAGCACCGCA